TGCGAGATATGGGTTTCCAAGTCCCTCAATACAGAGTCTCGCGGCTTTGTCTCTGCTGATCACCTCAATAGAGTAATTTGCAACTCTAAATGGGATGAACAATTCCCGGAATCTGCTGTCATCCACCTTCTTTCCATGCGCTCCGACCATCAGCCTTTATTACTTGTTGTGTAACCATGATCAAAGACCCAAGTCCAAGCAATTTCGTTATTTTTCGGGATGGCTTTCCCATGAGGATTTCCCTTGTATGGTCCGTGACAATTGGATTCCATCCTCCTCTCTTTCAGAAACTATTTCCAAGTTAACTGACGCTGCAGATCACTGGAATCACACAACTTTTGGCTATATTGGCACAAAGAAACAGATTATCTTGCTGCGCATCCGGGGAGTCCACAAGCTCTTGCACAACGCCATACTAGCTTCCTTGTCCATCTTGAATCTGACTTAATGACTGATCTTGAAAGACTCCTTGATCTTGAAGAAAGCTTGTGGAAACAACAATCTCGTATATAGTGGGTGTCCCATAGAGACCATAATACTAGCTATTTCCACCACAAAACAATGTAAAGAAAACGACGCAACAGAATCATTACTCTTAAAACCTCTGCAGGTGAATGGAGTCACACTACAGTGATGAACTCAAGGACGAAACCGCTAGTTACTTTCAGAGGCTTTTTACTATTGATTCTACCATCTCGGGATCTTACTCCTCTAATGGTTACTTCCCGATGGCTCCTCTTTCGTCCATGGACTCTCTTGACACTATTCCTTATTGTTTCGAGATACATGATGCCTTGTTTGCCGTGGCCCCTTTCAAAGCTCCTGGTCATGACAGTCTCCACGCGAGTTCTTTCAGTCTCAATGGTCAACCGTGGGTGACATGGTTTGTAAAATGGTGCAATTGGTCTTCGCGGGTGGTGACATTGACCTAATCCTGAACAGAACCATCATTGCCTTACTCCCGAAGAAGGATGCACCCGAATCCTTTACTGATTTTCAGCCTATTAGTGTCTGCACTATTGCCTACAAACTTATCACCAAAGTTCTTGTGCTCCGACTACAGAACGTAATTCCTCTGCTTATCTCTCCAAATCAGACCAGCTTCATCCTGGGTCGATCCATCACCGATAATATAATTATTAATCAGGTTGTCCATTCCATGCGCCAAAAGAAGAGTCGTAAGAATTGGATGGTCATTAAAGTGGACCTTGACAAGGCATTTGACAGCATCAGATGAGATTTCATTAAGGAAACTCTTCAAGATGCAAGATTTTCGGCCAAGCTTATTGATATTATTATGTGTTGCATCACACCCTCTGATGCAAATTTAGTGAAATGACTCGCTCTTGCGTCCCATCGCCCCTGAGCGCGGTGTAAGACAAGGTGATCCTATCACCGTACTTGTTTGTCCTTACTATGGAGCGTTTGGGTCATCGTATCACTGATCACTCCTGTAGTCCTGTAGTCCGAAATGGTGACTGGGAACCATTCCCTTTTGGCCTTCATGGTCCTCACTCTCTCATCTTTTCTTTGCTGATGACCTTGTACTTTATGCGCTGGCGGACTCTCATCAAGCAAACATAATTGAGACTATACTGTCAGAATTTAGCTATTTCTCTAGCCATAGAGTAGTATGGCTAAGACTCACATGTATTTCTCTCCTAATATGGATACTGCTTCTCGTTCTACTATTGTGGCCAAGCTCAGTTTTCAAGTGGTCGACTCTCTAGGCAAGTACCTAGATGTCCCAATTTTTCATAGCAGGACCACCGCTGTGGATTATTCTTTCATTGTGGATATGGTTCGTAATAAGTTTTTGGGATTGGCTGCTCAATCTCTTTCCTTAGCCGGCTGCCTCACTCTCACTAAGCCTATCCTTGGTGCAATCCCGATATGAAAACCATGTCCATTCCTATGCGGATTTGCAAGGATATTGAGCAATGCATCCGAAGATTTATTTGGGGTTCCTTGAACACTACTTGAGGGACTCCTTGAGGGATGGTTTTGCTTGAACTGCGATGGTGGCGTTGCCTCTGAAAACTCGAAGGGATCTGCTAGTGGTGTGCTTCATGACTCGAATGACTCGTGGATTATCGGCTTCAGAAAACATCTTGGTATTTCTTCTGTCCTTCAATCTGAACTCTAGGGAATCTATGAGGGTCTTCGCATGGCGTGGGATTGTCGGGTTACTCAGCTGGAAATTCAAACGGACAGCGCCCAGGCTGTGCGGCTTCTTGAGGCTGCGATGCTTTGGATAGTCTTATTTCGTTAGTTCGAACCATCGCTTTATGGCGCAATCAAGCATGGGAGACACGTCTTCGATGTATTCCTCGGTCTGGCAATTGTGAGACCGACGCACTCACCAAATTGGCCCCTCTATGCTCACTGAAAACCAGCTATTTTGATACTCCCCTCGTTGGCATTGGCGCACTGGTCGAGACTGACGCTAGTGGTACTCATCCATTGCCAATCATAGTTGCTTAGTTCTCTGTTCACACTTTCAATTCAAGAAAAAATTAATCAATCGTTTAATAATTGATCGTGGTTAAAAAGAGTATTGTTTTGATTTAAAATTTAACAGAGCAATTTTAGTTAAATAACCAATCATTTAATGATTCATCTCATATATATTATAATCACTCTAAATTATTTTTAAAAAATAATTTAATATTCATATTCTATTTTAGTTAATGACATTTAACAATATATATCAATTATTTAATTATGAATAATCAGAGAGTTGAATCTAGAATTTATATTTTTATGTTATAATTATCACTACGAATTTCACATATTTATGCTATCATTAAAGAATTAATTGAAGTTTTTAACTTGATTTCTCTCCATGGATGAGTTAAGAGGGGTACAGTCCGTAAACAAATCGACATTCAGCAAATAGTTCGTAAATCGTTCGGCAGGAAGTCCGTTTAGATTCGTTATTTTATTAAATGAATGAACATGAACAATATTGAAAGAACATGAACAAAAGGTTTGTTCGTTCATTTACGTTCGTGAACGTTCAATAATTCATTCATTTATGTTGGTTCATTTATGTTAGTTAATTTATGTTTGTTCATTTATATTCATTTATGTTCTCAATACTCGTTTAAAATATAAAAACTTAATAAATTTTAACCTTAAATCCATTAATATTTCTAAATTCAAATAATTTTAAACCCAAATAAAAAATACTCAAATCAATTAAAGGAAATATAAACCCCAAAATCATTTGAAAAGAAAAATCTCTTCAAAAATATAAACCCAATTAATTTTATGTTTGTTCGTTTATGTTTGTTCATTTGTGTTCGTTTATCATTTAAATGAATGGACATGAACAGACACGAACAAACTAAATTTATTAATGAAAGAACACGAATAATAAATTTCGTTTGTTTAGTTGTTCGTGTTTGTTCATGTTTGTTCGTTCGTTTGTTCAGTTAAAGTTAAACGAACAAACATGAACATATCCTCGTTCGTATTCGTTCAATTCGTTTACATGCCTAGTAATTATACCTTGATTCTTGAAAGTTAAATAAAATATATAGAAAGAATTTTTTTTTTGTTGATCTATTGATCGACGAGTTGAGACAAGTTGATGCATAATTTTCTTAAGACATATTTTTTGTCGCTCTTTGATGCTCGAGATTTTTTTATAGTTTATCTCTCATAATACAATAACTAGAGGATTAACGAACAATATCATAAACTATCGAGATCACTAACTATTTTTTGTTTTCATTTATCACCGAAAAACTAAAGAAGGAGAAAATATTTTTTAAAATTTAAGAAGTTTTTGAATTCTGAGAAATATGTTTAACATGAAAGGTTATTTCATTATTTATAGGAGATTCAGATAGATTTATCCAAAATAGATATATTTTAATATTCATATTTAATAGATAATAATATATTTTAACTTGAAATATTCAAAAGATATAGACCTTCTGGTATTCAAACTTAAATAGATATTATTTTAATTTGAGATATTCAAAAGGATAAAATTATCTTTTAATATTTAAAGTTAAATGTATAATAAATACTTTTAATTTGAGATATTCAAAAGAACAATTATCCTATTAATATTCAAATCAAAGAGATAAATATTTTTTAATTTATAATATTCAAATGAAAGGTAATTATTCCCATATTTTAGATATTTAATTTGTACTTTCAATTGATAATATATTTTTGTTCTCTAAAATTTGATTAGTTTATTATCTCTTAAAATTTTAAACATTCATCTCCTAATATAAAATTATATATTTCATCTTTATATATATTTTGAATATTTCTTAATCTATCTATCACCTAATCGGAACATAATTTTAATAAATAGTAATCATTTTAATATTTTTCAATCATATTTTAATTTTAATTTAATTATTAAGATATCAATTTATAAATCTTTTAATCACATTTAAAACTAAAATGTGATGAAATTACAATCAACATAATAAATAAAATAAACATAACCATGAGGAAAAAAGATAAAATTAAGGAAACCGTAATAATATAAATATTTAATCATATTGTTGTTGTTTGTTTGAAATCTCACATTGTTAAGGAATTTATTGTCCTTGGCTTTGGCACTTTATATATGTGGACTTTGTTTTTTTAATCCCACATGAAATAGGAATATTTTTGCATTAGGTTTGGCTCTTTATATAAAGTCGTAATCCGTCGCCCATAATTCTAATCTCAACTGAATGTAAAATTTATGTTAGGACACAAATTTTAAAAAATTCAAAATATAGTAAATTTATAAAAATTTAAAAAGATAAAAATAAATTATTAATAAAAATATATAAAATTTTAAAAACATCATGAACAAAATATTCAAAATTGGGTATCTGTAAAAAAAATATTTGGGTAGAATAATGCTTTATTCCCTCTATATTTCAATTACATCAAACAAGTCCTATTTATATAGAAATAACTCCTATAACTAACTTAATAACAGAATTTTAAAAAACTTAACAAACTATGCAACTGAAGTAAAATTAGTTAACAGTTTCTTCCCTCCCCCTCAAGTTGGTGGTTGCAAAGACATCTTTAAACCCCAACTTGGAAACTATATATTCATGTTGATGTACACCCAAGGCTTTGGTCATTAGATCTGCTTGTTGCTCCCCCGTCTTGATGTGTTCGGTCTGTATCAAGCCTTCTTGAATATTTTCTCTGACAAAGTGGCAGTCTATCTTAATGTGTTTAGTTCTCTCATGGAAAACTGGGTTAGCTGCTATTTGTAAAGCCGCTTTACTGTCACACATCAGCTTAGCTGGTGCCATATTTTTCAATCCCATCTCTGCCAATAAACCCCTCAACCATACTATTTTTGCAGCCGTTCCAACCATGCTTCTGTACTCTGCTTCTGCAGAAGAGCGTGCAACAGTATTATGCTTCTTAGACTTCCAAGAAATCAGAGACATTCCAAGCTTAACACAAAAACCAGTAACATACCTTCTGGTCATAGGACAGACAGCCCAATCAGAATCACAATAGGCAAATATCCTGCACTCACTTGTTGCACTTAGTAAAATCCCCTGCCCTGGATTTTTCTTGATGTATTTTACCACTCTCAATGCAGCCTCAAGGTGTGATTGTTTTGGTTTGTGCATGAATTGACTCAAGAAATGTACTGCGTAAACGATATCCGGTCTTGTGTGAGTCAGATATATTAATATGCCTATAAGTCTCTGAAAAACATATTTATCTTGCAAGAGTTATTCATTACTACAAACAGCTTCATCATACTCAGTTGTAGTAAGTTTCTTGTTTTGCTCTAGAGGAGTCATAGCTGGTTTAGCTCCCCCTGCTCCAGTTTCTTCAATCAGCTCTAAACCATACTTTCTTTGATTCAACACAATCCCAACTTTTGACCTTAGAACCTCTAATCCTAGAAAGTATTTCAACTCTCCAAGATCCTTCATTTTGAATTTCTTATTCAAAATATGCTTTAGTTCTGCTATCAGTACTTCACTACTTCTAGTGATTAAAAGATCATCAACATACACCAAAAAAATAGCTATATCACTACCCTTGATATTTTGTGAACATTGAATAATCATACTTGCTCTATATGTAACTGGCTGTAAGTAAAGCCTCTATTAGCTTCAAATTTCATTGCCTAAAGGCTTGTTTTAGTCCATAAAGTGATTTATGCAGCCTACAAACCTTAGACTCCCCCTGGATACAAAAACCATCAGGTAGTGTCATATAGACTTCCTCAACTAGGCCACCTTGTAAGAACGCATTGTATACATCCATTTGGTAAAGAGGTCAATAAAAGATTGAGGCAATAGCAAAGACAGTTCGAACAGTGACCAGTTTAGCAACTGTAGAGAAGGTATCCACAAAGTCAACTTATTCTCTTTGATTAAACCCTTTAGCAATAAGGCGAGCTTTGAAATTCTCAACATCTCCATTAGCCTTGTACTTGATTCTGTAAACCCATTTGAAGCCTATTGGAACTTTCCCTAAAGGCAGGGTAACTATAGACCAAGTGTTATTTGACTCCAAAGCTTCAATCTCTTCCTTCATGGCTTGGATCCAAAGAGGGTTGGTAATGGCTTTAGAATAAGTTTTTGGTTTACTTAAATGAGAAGTAGAAGATAAGAAACTTTGAGTTTTAGAAGGTAAGAGAATAAGAAATGAAATTAGAGATATGATACTTACTTGGAAGAGATAAGGATTGGTAGGATTGAACATAGTCTTGTAGCCAATTAGGAGGTTTGACAACCTTAGTAGACCTTCTCTGAGGTGGACACTGATTTTCAGGTGGAGCAAGTGAACTAGAACATGGACTTGGAGAGTAAATTGGTGAACTAGTTGAAACTTGAGGTGATGCAGGAGAAGCAGAAGAGGACAGAGTAGGTGAAACAGAATTTATTGGATTAGATGGTACAAAAATTTCAAGATTAAGAAAATCAGAATCATCAATAAGAGGCTGAGCAGGGAAAAAGGGAGAAGGCTTGTTTGATGAAAACGAGAAAGGAAATATAGTTTCATGAAAGACCACATCACAGTTGACAAAAAAAGATTTTGTATGAAGATCAAAAAGGATATAGCCCTTTTGAGTTAATGAGTAACCCATAAAAACAGAAGGAGAAGCCTTTGGGGAAAATTTGTCCTTATAGTTAAATTTGGTTGCATAACAAAGACATCCAAACACTTTCATATGATAAAAATTAGGTGGTTTATGATAGAAAGTTTCAAAAGAACTTTTCCAGTTAAGAACATGAGTAAGAAGCCTGCTAATGATATAACAAGCAGTTAAAACGCACTCACCCCAAAATTTGATAGGCGCATGAGAATGAAATCGAAGAGCACGAGCTACCTCTAAAAAATGTTTGTGTTTGAGTTCAGCAACTCCATTTTGTTGGGGTGTATGAAAACATGAGCTTTGGTGAATAATACCAAGAGATGAAAAAAGTTCAGAACAATTATCACTAAAACACTCACCACCATTATCACTACGAACATACTTAACTGAAGTAGAATGATGATTTTTGACAGGAGTAAAGAATTGTTTAAGAAATAGAAGTGCATCACTCTTAAGTCTCAGCAAGTAAACCCAAGATAGTCTAGTATGATCATCTACAATAGTCAAAAAGGATCTATGACCACTATGTGTTGAGATTCTATAGGGACTCCACAAATATGAATTAGATCAAATGGTTTAAGTGACCTAGATGTGCTAATAGGAAAGGGTAATCTTGACTGTTTTGCAAGAGGACAAATAGAAAATTGCTTAACAAAGTTATCATTCAAAGGAAAATAACTCAAAAAAGGAGTCTTATGCATTTTAACAGGAGTAGCATGCCCTAAACGTGTATGCCAAAGCATTGTATTATTATGAGAAGAAACAAACATACAACCAGAATCAATTTTGTATTCTGATGAAGACAAATCAGAACTAAATTTTGGAGATTACAAACCAGAAACAAGGTCCTTGGAATTAAACACATATAGACCACGAACCTGCCTACCAATCTCCTTCATCTTCTCAGTGAAGAGATCCTACAAAATACAAAATTGAGGGTAAAAAATGATACTGCAATTGAGATCTTTGGTGATTTTTTATACGGACAACCGATTATGATGGAAATCAGGAACACACAGTATATTTGGAATAACATCAGTAGAGTTAAAACGAAAGCTACCAGTATGTGTAATAGGAATTGTTTTACCAGTAGGCAAATAGACATAATTAGGCTCATATGAATTAAGAGATTGTAAACAATGGATGTCACACAACATATGCTTGGTAGCCCTTGTATCAAGTATCCAAGAAAAAGAATCAGCAGAAGTAGGTGAGCATTTGAAAGCAGTACCTACTAGGTTAACTGTTGCATTAACCGATGGAGTCTTGTTCAAAAGTTCAAGGATTTGGTGATACTGAGCTATTATGAAGACTGGAGTAGACTTAACTGCACTGAAATCACCAGATTGTGAGTCATGATCAGACTCAGGCAACGAGGGATTGGTAGCAAGAGCAGCATGCGGATTCTTCTTTTTTATGAACTTGAAATCAGGAGGAAATCTGATTAAGCGATAACAATTGTCACGCTTGTGGCCTTTAATTTTGCAGAAGTTACAGACACCATTAAACCGTCTTCGATCAGAATTTCTAGAGGTATTGGAGTACATAGAAGTGACTCCCGAGGCAACAGACAACTGAGCTCGTTGTGCCTCTTCTTGCACGATCATGGAGTACGCTTGTTTCACGCTCGGTAGGGGCTGCAAAAGGAGGACTTGACTGCGAATAGCAGAGTATGTATCATTAAGACCCATTAGGAATTGCAATAGCTTCTGCTATGCAAGGTGCTTGGAATTTTGTTGAGAAGCTTGACAATTACAAGCCAAAAGAGGAAATAGGGCATAATATTCATCCCACAACAATTTTAATCACGTAAAATAGGTCGATACAGTTGAATCACCTTGACTTAAAGTGGAAATTTCAAGATGCAAGAAGAAAATCCTCGATCCATCTACCTTGTCGAACCGCTCCTTTAAATCGGTCCAGACATGAGCAGCGCTGGAAGCAAAGACGATTCTAGCCGAGAGGACACTGCTCACCGTGTTGATAATCCAGGAAAGGACAAACACGTTACATCGCTTCCATTGAGAATGAAAGAGCTCTTATCGATACCAACCAGTCGATGAGAGATAAAAACGCCGCCCGACGTATCAGATGGATACAAATATAAGGGATGGTTGAATTCGAGCACGATGGTGATATGGGTGGTTTCAGTGGTATTCATTTCGGCGCAAGAAAATTACCAAAACAATGAACAAAGCAGGAGGAGGGAATGCGGGCTGAAGGAACGATTGGAGAGAATGAAAACGGCCCAAGAATGTCCTGGGCTAAACTGATACCATGTAAAAAATATTTGGGTAGAAAATGCTTTATTCCCTCTATATTTCAATTACATCAAACAAGTCTTATTTATATACAAATAACTCCTATAACTAACTTAATAACAGAATTTTAACAAACTATGCAAGTGAAGTAAAATTAGTTAACAGTTTCTGTAGAAATCAGAGTAATTCTCTGTAATTTCTTATTCTTTTCAATATGACAGATTACATATTTATATACAAATCATCTCTCTAAAGTATGAAACTCTAAGAAAGGAAAAATACTAATCCTATGAGATATGATCCCTTAAAATAAGGGATTGTAGAATATTTACAGAATCCCTTAATTAAAGGATATTTACATAATCATATATTTCTATAATTCCTACACTCCCCCTCAATATGGAGAATATACATTGTATAATCCCAGCTTGAATAAGAATTTATTGAAAACAGGCTTTGGCAAAGCCTTAGTAAGAATGTCTGCAACTTGTTCTTCTGAAGGAATGTATGAAAGTGTGGTTGTCTTTTTGTTAACTTGATCAACAATAAAATGCCTATCAATCTCAACATGCTTTGTCCGATCATGTTGAACTGGGTTCTTGGCAATTTGAATAGCAGATTGATTATCACACAAAACTTCAAAGTGATCCTATTGATTAGTGACAAGTTCTTTCAGTAGTTTAAGTAGCCAAATTCCTTCGCATATTCCCAATGCTAGTGCTCTGAATTCAGCTTCAGCACTATTTCTTGAAACGACAAATTGTTTCTTGCTTCTCCAAGTTGTAAGGTTTCCCCAAACAAAAGTGCAGTAACCACTAGTGGATCTCCTTTCAATAAGGTCTCCGGCCCAACTAGAATCTGTAAAGATCTTAACAGTTCTGTCTTGTGTTTTCTTAAACATTAAACCGTGTCCTGGAGTTTTCTTCAAGTACTTGAGAATTCTATTTGCTGCTGCCATATGCTCTTCAGTAGGATTAGTCATGTATTGACTTATCACATTTACAGGAAATGCTATATCTGGCCTTGTCAAGGATAAATAAATTAGTTTCCCAATTAATCTTTGAAATTTATCTTTGTCTACCAAGGACCCATCTTCTTTGTTAAATTTCAAGCTTGCCTCCATTGGTGTATCATTCGGCTTACAACCAAGAAAACTAGTTTCTTTGAGTAAATCAAGTACATATTTTCTTTGGTTGATCACAAGTCCTTCTTTTGACCTTGCCACCTCCATTCCTAGGAAATACCTTAGCTTTCCCAAGTCCTTGGTTTCGAATTCCTTATTTAACAACTTCTTCAAATTACAAATCTCTTCTTCATCATCTCCGGTAAGAATTATGTCATCCACGTACACAATAAGGATAATTTTCTTATTTGTAGAAGTTACCTTGATGAAAAGAGTGTGATCGACGAGGGATTTCTTGTAGCCGTTTTTTCGGATGACTTTAGTGAACCTCTCGAACCAAGCTCTGGGTGATTGTTTTAACCCGTATAGAGACTTGTTGAGCTTGCACACCTTTTTACTTCCTTCAACAGACTTTAAGCCAGGTGGCAACTTTATATAGACTTCTTCTTCTAGCTTGCCATTAAGAAAAGCATTTTTTACATCAAGTTGGTGTAATTTCCAATCGCAATTTACAGCCAAACTTAGGAGTACTCGAACAGTATTCAGCTTCGCCATAGGTGCAAAAGTTTCTGTGAAATCTATCCCATATGTTTGTGTAAAGCCTCTGGCCACTAGTCTCACTTTGTATCGTTGGATGCTACCATTTGAGTTATACTTTACAGTAAAGATCCATTTACAGCCAACAACCTTTTTTCCTTGAGGAAGGTCCGTAACAGTCCAAGTAGCATTTTTCTCCAGTGCACAAATTTCCTCTTCAACAGCCCTTCTCCATTTTGAATCCTTTAGAGCTTTAGCTATGCTTGTGGGAACCTGTTCTTTATCCAAGTTTACTGTAAATGCTTGAAAAGACGGCATCAATGAATTATAACCAGCAAATTTTTCAATAGGATGCTTGGTGCACTGTCTAACCCCTTTTCTAATAGCAATAGGGAAGTTACCTAGAGTAGGGGAAGTGGACTTACTGATTTCTTCTTCTATTTCGGAAGATGGACCCAAATCTAATTCTCGGCAAGCATCAGATTACAAAACAGCCTAAAGAATATGTTTTCTTTTCCTTGTATAGAAACGGAGTTGTTTGATTGATGTTGTTTGTGGAATATTTTAAATGAGAGTAGGTGTATTTTCAGGAAGGGTATTTAAAGTGGGTATGGGTGAAGTAGTAATATGTACTACCGGTGGATCAATGGGAGTAATTACAGGTGACAAATTTGTAGGTAAGGACAAAACTGGTGGCAATTCTGAAGGTTGAGAATGAAGAGTAGGAAGAGATACCTAATGTGGCTGAAAATCCTTCCATGTCTCCCCCTGAATTTCAGCCTGAGTGAAATAGGGATCCTGCTCATAAAATGTTATATCCATAGTGGTAAAAATCGTTTTGAAGGAGGATGATAGCATTTATAACCCTTCTTAAGTGAAGAATACCCAACCAGTACACACTTTAATGATTTAGGATCTAACTTGGACTTATTAGGAGCAATGTTTTGGATAAAAACAGTACAACCAAATATTTTAAGTGGAAGAATGGAGGAGATAGGTTTAAAATGGGGAAAGTATTGCAAAAATATAGATTGAGGTGTTTGAAATTGTAAAACCTTACTAGGCATTCGATTGATTAAATATGTGGCAGTTAATAAGGATTTCCCGCATAAATATTTTGGAACATTAGTGGTAAATAGAAGAGAACGAGTAACTTCAAGGAGGTGTCTATTTTTTCTTTCGGCAATACCGTTTTGTTGTGGAGTGTCAACACAAGAACTAATCTGAACTATGCCCTTTTCCCTGAAAAACGCACCCAAAGACTTAGCAAAAAATTCACTGCCATTATCAGATTTAAAGAGCTGAATTTTAGACCCAAATTGAGTGCGAACCATGTTATAAAATTGGGTAAAAACACCAGCAGTTTCAAATTTATCTTTTAGCAAATATGTCCAAGTTATCCTACTGTGATCATCAATGAAAGTGATAAATCACTTACAATTATCAGCATTCTTCACCCGAGAAGGATCCCAAATATCACTATGGATCAAAGCAAAAGGGTGAGAAGGCTTATATGTAGAAGGAGAATAAGTTGATTTAGTATGTTTGGCAAGAGAGCAAACTTTGCAAGAAAAAAAATTTGGTCTTTTATGAATGAATAGAGCAGGAAAAACTTTTGCAAGATAATGAAAACTAGGATGACCTAAACGATAGTGCCATAACATAACATTATCAATTTTTTCTAAAGTGGTGAAAGATTTCGAGATTTCGGTTTTAGTAGAGGCAGGAAGAATGTAGAGACCATTCTGCAAGCTGGCCTTACCATTCATCTTCTTCGAGTTCAGTGCCTACAAAGTACAATCAATATCATTAAAAATTGCATAGCAGTGCAAGTCGGTGGAAAGTTTACTAACGGAAACGAGATTGCAAGCCAGATTTGGTACGAAGAGGACATTTTTAAGTACAATATGGTCATTGAGAATAACAGTGTCATGTCCTTCTATTTTGCACAAAGAACCATCAGTTGTTTTGACAGCTTTACCAAAGTTTGGAAAAAAATTGCAAAACAAATCCTTATTACCAGTCATATGATCCGTAGCATCAGAATCGAGGATCCAATTAGGGGACGACTGGGAGGAGGAAAAAACTGTAGCATGAGGTTTACCTTCTGGTTATTTCATGACCAGATTACCTTCTGATTGAGAAGCAGAACCATAAAAATTTTCTGGATTTGAAGTGATCTCCGGAGTAGGAGAAGAAGTTGTGGACATCATCTAGGTTGGAAAGAAACTGTAACCTAAGCTGATACCATGTAGAAATCAGAGTAATTCTCTGTAATTTCTTATTCTTTTCAATAGGACAGATTACATATTTATATACAAATCATCTCTCTAAAGTAGGAAACTCTAAGAAAGGAAAAATACTAATCCTAGGAGATATGATCCCTTAAAATAAGAGATTGTAGAATATTTACAGAATCCCTTAATTAAAGGATATTTACGTAATCATATATTTCTATAATTCCTACAGTTTCTACATATCCATGTGACTGGCTGTGTGTTTTAATAAATGAAAAACAAATTATCAAATCTTGGTATTATCTAATAACATCATGAAGTGTAAAAAGTAATCAAAATTGGGTATCCAATTCCATGACTAGATGTGCTTTTTAATAAACGAAAAAAAAAGAGAGTATATTTCTGCAGCAGTTTAATACCAAGAACAGACATGGCCATGTTCCTATTAACTTCTCCATTAAACCAAGTATACTTATTTCAGATTTTATATTCTAACCTAAAAAATTCCCATCTAGTTTTCCTACTCAAAAAACGAGAGCATCCATGGATTAGTATATAGTTTCCCAAGAGATTCTTCATTATTTGGATGATCCAAGTATTATATATCCCTCAGTATTTTCCAGTCACTATATAGCAGTGATGTAGCCAGGGTATTATAATCAACTACTGGCCCAAGCTCATCCCAGTTTTGATGTCCCAAGTAGAATTCATCGGCATTCGGATTTGAAAAGCTTAAATACGACGGAAGAACTTGAGTCGTGGTCCCTGCAAACAACTGGTTCTCTCCATAGAAATCATCATTCACAATCTTCCTTTCCATCTCCTTGAACTGCACACTATTCTCCGACTCTGCACTGCTTGTTCTTGAACTGGTAGCTGTTGTAGTAGTAAAATTAACACTATTTTCTTTGGAAAGATTAGTCTTCTTGTTGTGCCAATCTTGTGCAACATGTTTTCTACACGAAACGTCCCGTTTAAAGATTCTGCAAAGTGTCCAAACTTCCTGCAAATTGTTAAATAAAACATATCTTAATAACATAAATCGATCTCGGTTAATTAAGGGAGATTAATTCGTATGGATGCTTACAGCTTCTGGCAAGTTGTCCTTGGTATTAGTAGGAACTTGAGTAGGTGGAAGGCGAAATTCATGCATCATCCAATCTGTTTTGGTGCCTTTCCCTGCACTTCCCCTGTAATAAACCAGTGATTTCTTGAGGCCTAAGCAATCGTGGAATCTGCCGACGGTGTATATCGGCTTGTCGATCCCAGTCGCTTTCCAGAACCCGGACCCTGTAACCCTGTTCGGCCTTAGGCTGTTCCTATATTTTCTGCCTCTCCTGCAAAAGAAGTACCATTCCTTCTCTGTAACACTGCTAATTTTGCTAACTTCTGCAACAAGTTTCACAGCAATTAGTTAGTGAGCGTCCATCAATTGGGAAAAAAGTTTGGAAACTGCGAAATTAAGAAGAAAGAATCGTACTCGGAAGATCCCAAGGATCGTATTTGTAGATATCGACCTGTTTGATCAGGTCGATGCTAAAGAGTTTCTTTTCCACTTTCCGTTTAAGATAGAAGCCAACAAGCTCTTCATCAGTTGGATGAAATCGAAATCCCGGAAGTAGAACATCATCATGATCTTCATCGTTAACTGAAGAGATCATCTTCTCCTTCACCTCCATTGTCCAGTGTTGTTCTTTTACCACTTTGAGATTATTTTAAGAGACTTTATAATGTGTTTGTTTAGTCAAAGTCGTAGTTTTTGAATAGAAATATGAGATCCATTGCTTCACATTTGAAGACTTTATGGGCTGATGGAGATGTTGTTGGTTTGTCAGATATTTTCCACCAAAGAAAAAGACAATTAAAATCTTTCTATTTGAAAACAACTATTACCCTCAAACAGCAACAAGAAAAGGAAAAGTATTTTGAGCAAAAGTTTGACTAAAAGCTTTAGCATTTCACAATGAAAACGGGTTTTTTCTTACTGGTTTCATTACCATTCACTTTTACTATCAACATAGTATGTGGATTTATGTCTTGCGTACTTTGAATTCCTCCATTCCTATCCTACCGTGGATCTAGAAATTTAAAAATAAGATCTAATATTTTATATACAGTTTCTCTAGAAACCTAGTTTTCTTGTGATACAGCAAGCTCAATTTCACTAAACCATCACTCGAATTTTAATTTATTCATAAATTCTGAAATATTTTAATCGAATCTTTGAAGTATTCGTATTAAATTAATTAGATTATTTCGTCGGTTTACCTTTAATTTAGACACTGGATATCAATTTAAATATAATGAAGAGTTTATTTATAATGAATAGATCAAATTTCAAATGCATTCGTATCAACTTAATAAACAATTTAAATTTAGCATGTTAAATAAAAATACAATGAAAATGATATGAATAGCTCGAAATTATCTATCTACACGTGCATTTATAATTTTAAATTTAAGTTAATATTTAACACACAAAATAATAATTAAACTTTAGTAATACAATATTATACTTTTGAGTGAACATTTACACTTAACCAAAATACGTATCCATATATGACTTATTCCGCCCAAATGTTTGACTCAATAATATATATTATCTAAATTTAAAAAAAAATGTGGGGTAGGTTTAAAAAATATTATTATTTTAGATATTTATTCTTTTTCAGATATTTTCATATATTTAAGATAACAAAGTTTAAAATTTTGAACCAATAACAAGGTGATCTAGTGAGATGAGGTACTAGATCATTTAAACAATGTTGGGGGTTCGAATTATGACAATTACAAAGGAGCAAACTGGATTGAGAGGGTCACTCGCCCTTGTCTCTACAGTACTCGATAAATATTAATTGATCAATAGATCAGATACATGAAGTTATAAAATAAAGGTTAAATTTGAGCTGCACCCCGTCGTTTTTTCTTCTAAAGTCGAGAAGTATATGACGTAAACCATTGACTCTATTTTCTATTTTAGGTGTAGAAAGAAGCTCATTCTAGAGAAAAGGGGATTCATCATATCAAATTCCAAAATATTTACTGGGATTGAATCCAAACCATCTTAATATATTAAAGTTCCTACAGGTTTGAAATCTAAGAAATCTGAATACTATTGACTTTATTTTTTTTAATTGACACTTGACTGCAAAGTCTTTTTTTTATAATGTGTATGTGTTTTTTATTTTTTTTGGATGAATATAAGATTGTATCTATTCGAAATATTTCCAATTAATTGATAATGACCGGTTATATATTCCTTGTAAATGACGCGTTCAAGTTCATAACGTCAAGAGATAACAATAATTCTATGACATGATTCAATCATATTATAATTATAATATTTAAAAAATCAATTGATTAATTTAAATTTAAATATTATAAAAAAATTATTATGAAAATAACTTTAGTATAATAAAAACGGTAAGAAATTAACATAACAGGTTTTAGTATAATGTTATAAAAGGTAAGAAATTAAGTTTTAAATGGTAAATTTTATGAATACAATTAACATAAGAGGTTGCGCCGAAAATTTTATCAGAGTTATAGCTGATGGAGTCATTTAATTTCCTTCGATAAGAAAATAAGTTTAAAATTGAAAATGTTACAAACATATATAATAAAAACGGCTGCTCTCTATAATGTCTTGTTTCAATAAAGAATGAGGTTGTACTATGAAATCTTAACATATTGAATAATAAAATGAGTTGTGCATGTTATCATAGTTTAAGCTGATGGAGACTTTTAATTTCCCACGATAAGAAAATAAGTTAAAAGCTTAAAATGTTATGAATATGTTTAATAAGAAAGCATGTTGCAATCTGGAATATTGCTATCTGTAATAATAAAATGGGTTGCACCTAAAATATTATTAAAGTTTAAGATAATAAAGCCTTGGAGTTTCCCACGAAAAAAATAAGTTAAAAGTTTAAAATGTGAAAACAACTACGGTTGCACCAAATAATGTCATGGTTCAGTAAGAAATAGGTTGCAATCTGTAATGTTAATATTTTTATCAATAAAATAGGTTTCGACTAAGAAAGTCACGATTCTAAAGAAAGCAGGTTGCAACCACGAATCTTAATATTTTTAATAATAAAATGACTTACACCTAAAATATTAGTAGAGTTTAAACTGATAGAGCCTTAGATTTTCCCACGATTAGAAAATAAGGTAAAAAGCTGAAAACATTATGAATATATATAATAAATACTGTTGCGCCCAATAAAGTCATGGTTAATTTAGAAATAGGTTGTGATATGTAATGTTAATAATTTAAAAAATAAAATAGGTTAACCTAAGAATGTTATGATTTACTAAGAAAGTAGGTTGTGATCTGCAATGTATTGTTAATATTTTTTATAAATTAAATTGCTCCCAAGAATGTGAAGGTTTTGAATGAAAATTTCGGTTGCGATATGTTTTGTTAATATTTAGATTGATAAAAAATGTTTTGCCCAAAAGAAATAATAAACAGTTCGAAAATTATAATATCAATATTGAGTATATTATTATCGATACTATTAAATATCAAAAAATTGAAGATAATATCAAAATTGAAAATATCGATACATATGTTGTAATGATAGATACTTTTTAATTATAGTGAAAGGAAAATAAGTAAAAAGATAAAAATGTTACGAATATAATTAAGGAATACAATTGCACGAAAAAAAATAAAAACAAACACCGAAACATTAAATATCGATACGTTTTATAAAATTATCGATACTTTGAAATATTAAAATAGTTGAAGATATGATCGAAAGTTAAAATATCTATATTTATGTGTTAATGATCGATACTTTTTAAAACTGAAAACGATTATCCAAGGGTACCGATACCATAATGACATTATCGATACCATTTTTGAAATAAGGATTACATAATCGAAAATGGGTATCGATACCTAGGCTTGGTATCGATACCACAACTAGGGAAGTATCAGTACCATACCTTGGGCACCGATACTACTCCAAGTGGAAAATGGATTTAATCCTTTCTTTGAGCTTAAGAAATTACGGATCGAATCATGAGATTTAGAATGCTAATATGTATATAAAATGTATGATTGTGTAGATATCGAGCACAAGCAAGTTCCGGAACGACCGAAAAGTTAGGAACGATCAAGAAAGAGAAATTAAGTCATAGAAGTGATTGAGGTCAAGTGAGGCTAAAGTGAGTGCATACTATAAATTTAGTTTTATGGAAATAAGACATTTGATAAGTCTATTTCCTATGTTAATTTTCATGGTCCAATTGTTATGAACATACATATAGTATGCTCATTATAAACACATGCATAAGCGGTACATGTTTATATGTTTTGATACATGCTATATGATCCATATGAAGATAATCAAATAACATATCCTATATGATATGAGATTGATGGTTATATGTACATGTGATATGTGATTATAAGAGAAATGACATGAGTACATGAATATGTGGTGAAATAATGATTATATGAATATATATATGGAGCATAATGATAATGCCAGTGTTTTGTGATATGAGAGCTATAGGTATAGTTGGCATGCCAAGAGTTGAGGGTTACATAGGTCATTCGGGACATATACATAGGTTCTTCGGGACATATAAATGAGATCTTTCGGGACAAATTTCATATGGCACTAAGTGGGAATTATACGAGCTGTGGTGACAACATATGTGCACAACCTCAAAATACTCACATGCCTTAAGTTCTCAATAATATACATGGGCACATAAAATATTTAAAGGAGTTTACTTTCTTATAAGATATTATGTTAGCATTTGTTAATAATAGATCATATGTGATATTCTTAAATAGTGAATTTATAATTGTGATGACACATGAAATGATTGAATTGCATGTTCATACATTAGGAAATGCATTATTGTATTTATGCCTCACTAAGTTTATGACTTAGCGTGTAAGCGTTTTACACGTAGGTACCGAGAAGCAAGAGGATCAGGCTTAGAACCGTAGAATAGTATACCCCCACTCGAAGATCGGATCAGAAGTACTTTGCACAATATGTTTTTTATGTAATAGATATGTTGGCATGTAAACAAAGTTGGGAAGTACGTATGCTCTGATCAATTTTGTAATGTTTTGAACACACTTATGTAAATTGTTAATTTTACGCTAATGAAAGTTAAATTTTCTATGAATTTTATAAATGTAAACGATTTGAATAGTCAATGTGACACCTCAGATTTATATCTGAGTCAGGTACGGGTTGGGGGTGTTACATACTCCCATATTGCTCACTTTCTCTTTCTCGTGCTTATACAACAAGCTAGAATAACTGATTTCGTCCCATTTTTTTTCATTTTTTTCATGGTAAACCAGATCCGTTAATATTGTCATACAATTCATTCGCCAACAACCTATATTCGAATTGGCAGTCCATTACCACATCATTCAATTTGAAATTTTATTTAAATTTTATAAATATATAAATTATGTAACGCCTTACTATGTACTCTCCCCCCCCCCCGGTCACTTCTATTTGCATCCTCCTTATGATATGAACTCCATAATCATTTATGTACAATAGAATATGTTGTAAAATATGTTTCGATCTCCATTGTGACAAGTATTAGACAAATAAATATGAAAATTGTTAAAATGAATACCCATTCGTTTCAATGTTCAATGTCTCCTCCACCAATTTCAATTGTTTTATTGATGTCTTAGGCATCTCAAATGCCTC